ATAATCTTAAATGTAAGTGATTTTTACGTCGCCTTCGATACAGGTGAGATCACATTGGAGGCCGGGTTCCGACTTGACCTGTCAGGGCCAACCTGGGCTGAGAGGGACAAAACATCCCAGCAGAAACACCGAGATACTCGCTAAAAATTTGTGAGGCATCGTGATGAAATCAGACGCTCGTCAAAACGATGAAATTGAAGAAAACAGCAGTTTCCACCCTTCATGCATTTTTTTCTATTTTCTTTCATAGGCTCTACTGTGCATTTAGAAAAATAGTTCTGTGTTGATTTTACCATTTTTCAAAAAGTTGACCAAAGCCACAACAAACTTTGATTGGCAGTTTCCAGCGACTCTCAAGCTATCGAAGTTAACAATATTTGGCAGCCAGTTTCTCGCTAATTTAACTTCAGCTACATAGCAACCCTCACCTCCTTCAATTTCATGTACTCGTATCTCGATTTGTATTCATGATAGGTAGCATATTTTAATCAGAAGGCAAAGCAAATGAACAAGCTTATGCTTATAAACCTAATAATAACTCCACGTGCTCCAAAATTGACGAGCGCCTGATTCCACAGCGTCGTGACACATTATGTTCTCCCCATTCGGTAATTGAACGCAGGTCTCCGGCGTGCAAATGCGAGCGCCTAATGGCTACACCACAGATGCCAGTTCACCGAAATTACATACTTTTTTTCTCTTCCTCGGTAGGACAGATTTTTATTGAGCTCTTTGCACGTCAGCTCTAAAAGAGATCTCCTAGCGAGAGTGGTACTGTTTATCACTGAGGGGTTCCCTGTCAGGCTGTTTAAGTACACCGTGGCTACTTGTTCACGGTCATTTTCACCACATCCAAGGCCCCCAAAAAACCAAAGACGTAGAGTAGCAGGATGAGGCAAAAATCCAGCGGTCTATATCAGCCGTATAGGCGTATGTGGAGTAGGATCTTCGTGGACGCATGCAGAAGACCTACGTTCGATTACCGTGCTCGGGGAATTTTTATCGAGTACATCTACTTCAGCCCGGGGTAACCCTGACAGGCAGCATCGAAGCCTGCTTCCTAAATGATTTAAATTGTGTCAGTGGGAACGTTGAACATCTACAATGTACATTGAAAAGAAAAAAAGGCACTAGCTGTCAGACCCCCATTTTATCTCCAACCAGTGGTTTCCCTTTTACTCTTTTCGTTCCTTTTTTCTGTATGTCCATGTTTCTTTTATGCTCTGTCCGTGCCTAATTGCCGATCTGTCTGTCTGTCTATCTGTCTGTCTGTCTGTCTGTCATCCTATCTTTTTTCTATGATTACAATATAAGCACATGAACACTCAAACACACACGACATACACACA